TTCTCAGAAGAAGGGTAAAGTCTGTGAATGATGTTTACTCTTCTCCTTACTGTCTAGCAACTTCTATGATTTAAATCATATGATGTAAAGTTAACAATACTTAATACTATAATATAAACATGCCTTAGGTTACATGATTAGAGAATGAGAGGGAAAAGATTGTGTGTGTGTGTGTGTGTGTGTATGTGTGTGTGTGTGGTTTCTATAACTGGATAGTAGTGTATATTACCATAATATACACGTTTTCTTCTTGCAAATTGGGAAAGGGAGTGAGGGCATAAAAATCCCATCTGACCAGTGAAACAAAGAATCTTTTTGTTCTTTAAACATAAAATTCCTAGGTAGTCACAAAGGGAATATCTAATACCTATGTGTAAGTCCGAAATTAGTAATTAGAGTGCGTATGTCAGAAGATACTGTAGGAAATCCCTGGTGCTGCCTTTGTAGGTTCTGTAGAATAGTCTTCTAATCTTATTTTTAAAGTATGCTATACATGCAAGATTGCACTAGTACTACTTCAGAGTAGTGAAGAAGCAGGATGAAAACCAACAGGACAGTGCAGTGAGAAAAACAGTCAACACAGACAGAAGCCCAGACATGCAGAGAAAACTAAGAATTCAATAGATGCAGAAAATCAGAGCTTGAGACCACTCCACACGATAGAAGTCCCAGTGGCTCCCCTTCCCTCGTATTCACTTGCATCTTCCAAGAAATGTCTGGAGACATTGAGAGTGACACTGGGTTTTGCCATCGTTCATGGAATAAGATTTAAAGACACTATTATTGTTTATAATTTTAAAAAACAAAAAAATTATTGTTTATAATTTTAAAAAACAAAAAAAATTATTGTTCATAATTTTAAAAAACAAAAAAAACTTTGGGGACTCCTAAGCAGGTGACATCTGGCCACAACAGTTGACTGCTCTAATTCTGCTCCCAGAGTTGTTCTCTTCAGGGTATGGATATGGATCTTTTTAAAGGAGGGCTTTTGCAACAGAGGAAAATAAGAGAAACTTAAAAACAAAGAAAATTGACTTTCAGCTGCAGTAACAGAAGAATAAGAGAAATAATATAGAGTGTTTTTCTTGGAACTTTCCAGCAAGGGAATCAGATGAGAGGCTGTGAGGAAAGGCTTAATCCCATTGACTGTGAATCAGAGAACTTGAATTCCTTGGATCATCATAACTTCTCTGGAATACTTAGCAATAAGAAGCTGAAATTAAGGCTGAATTTCAGAACACTAACGAATACAAACATATTATATATTATTCCATAAACCACCTTAAGACTAGAGTAATTTGCATTAAAAGAGTAAGTTTTGGCAGACTGGAAAATAAGAAGAAATCTGAGGGTATGAAAAATTGTTGAAGTAGTGAACAGATACATGTCATCAATGTATAAAGGGGCCCAGGGCATTTATTAGCAGAAGGCCATGGAGTTCCACAGCCACCCTGAAATGGAGAAATTGTAAAATAATGTCTGCACTGGGGCCAGGCGCGGTGGCTCATGCCTGTAATCCTAGCACTTTGGGAGGCCGAGGTGGGCGGATCACGAGGTCAGGAGATCAAGACCAACCTAGCCAACATGGTGAAACCACGTGTCTACTAAAAATACAAAAAATTAGCCAGGCATGGTAGCAGGCACCTGTAATCCCAGCTACTCGGGAGGCTGAGGCAGGAGAATGGCGTGAACCCAGGAGGCAGAACTTGCAGTGAGCTGAGATCACGCCACTGCACTCCATCCAGCCTGGGTGACAGAGCAAGACTCCGTCAAAAAACATTAAATGAATAAAAAAAAAGTCTGCACTGATTCAGTGTGACATTTCCAGTGTTATAGTTAAGCTCATAGAAATACATTTAACATATAAAGAATCAACCAAAACGAACTTTGGAAATAATGCAAACATAAAGTAAGACAAAGTATCTGCTCACCATGTTAAAAATGGTAACAATAAGAGAAATAATACTTATTACTCTTATTTTTATTACTACTACAATTTACTTAGCATCTACTGCATTCCAGGTACTTTAAAATTCACTCACGATAACTGTATAACAATTTTTATTCTCACGAAAGAAATGTAATGTTTTAATAAATATGTAAATTAATAGATAACTCAGCCTAGATCCCATAACTAGTAAATAAAAGAGCTTGGGGTTCATTCTAGGTTTCTCTTCTCCAAAAAGTAAGTCTTTCACTGCATTGCCAGAATTAGCTTGCATGAATTAAAGAATAATAAAAATTAAAGTTATATTTCTGCCATTTGTCAGATAGCTATTAGAACACTGTCCTAGTCATAATGCTTAGAGGGAGAAAAAACAAAAACTGAGGAAGGTCTAGAGCAAAGCTAAAACCTGAGTAATGAGGGTGAAATGGTGTTTTATAAAAGTATGTTGCAACATAGTGTGCTTAACCTAGGGAACGCTAACACAACATCAGATGATGTTCACGAAGGATAATCACCATTATGATTCAACGTCCATAGAAAATTGAACAAGAGATGGATACGTTCAGAGAAAAGAAATTGTGAGGGAGGGGTGGCCTTTTAAAATATTCTAACTGGCAAGTGGCTAGAGGCTGTCACATCATGAGGTTCAATTAAGGAAGACCCGATCTCAATAGAAAACACCAGAAAATGACAATGTACAGTTAAAAATAGACACAAATTGTTCCCCTCCCTTCATTCTTGTCCTTTCAAGATGGAAGTACAGATCCTCCCATGAAGACATTAGGGGGCCTATTTTCTTACCCCTTGAATCTGGGTTGTCTAGGAAATTTGCTTGGCCAATATGACATTAGCACACATGACTCAGCAGAGGTCTGAAAAGTATTTGTGAATTGGAAGAGAACCAAGAGTCTGCCAACTGCCAGAGACACGACTGAGGCCATCCTAACTCACGGAATTGAACACCCCACCAGGTGACCACGGTTGCATAAGAGAGCCTAGTAGAGAAGTGCTGAGCAGGCTCAGATAAGAGACCACACCCAGGACCCATGGTGTGTAAACAAAAGCCGATGGTGGTTGCCGGAAGTAACTACATTTTGAGGGATTTATTACACAGCTAAAGCTACTTAAATCAGGTGGCAAAACCACAAAGTGACAGGAAAAATGGATGTTATCTATACTTTAAGAAGTGGTTAATTTGTTCCGTGGCCTGAGAGGTTTCGCGTTCTACCTGTATCTGAAGATATGGAACTGGAATAAATGTGTATCTAGTTGCCATTTGGTAACCAAAATGTCCTTTTTTGTTTTTGTTTTGTTTTGTTTTGTTTTGTGTTTTGAGACAGAGTCTCGCTCTGTCGCCCAGGCTGGAGTGCAGTGGTGCAATTTCTGCTCAAAGAAACCTCCGCCTCCTGGGTTCAAGCGATTCTCATGCCTCAGCCTCCCGAGTAGCTGGGACAACAGGCGCCCGTCACTTCGCCCGGCTAGTTTTTTGTATTTTTTTTAGTAGAGACGGGGTTTCACCGGGTTAGCCAGGATGGTCTCGATCTCCTGACCTCGTGATCCGCCCGTCTCGGCCTCCAAAAGTGTTGGGATTACAGGCGTAAGCCACCGTGTGCGGTCCCTAAAATGTCTTTATATGTAGACCATCTAGTCCGATTTGGTCAATGTACATATGAGGAATCAGAAACCAGGAAAGGGGGAAGTGACTTGCCAAAAGTCACAGTAAACCCCTAACTAACCAGGACTACTTGTCAGGTTGTCCGATCCCCAGTCCTAGGCATTTTACTTAGGGCCGTCTTGGGATCTCGAGCCGTCCTGAGATTCTATGACTCTGTGACTCTACGGTTCTATAATTCCAAGACAAAGTGAACAATTCCAGTGCTCCAGGCAGCCTCAGCACAAGAAAAGAACATGGTCGAGGCTGAAGTACCAACTAAATAATCTCCTTTCACATTTTCACCGACACCATCATGGATTCAAGCATGGCACACAGTCCGGTGTTTCTGGTATTTCCTCCAGAAATCACTGCTTCAGAATATGAATCCACAGAACTTTCAACCACCACCTTTTCGACTCAAAGCCCCTTGCAAAAATTATTTGCTACAAAAATGAAAATCATAGGGGTAAGTAAGACTTGCCCCTATGTATATTCTACCGAGGCAGGTGAAAGGCCAGGAAAATTATCTCTTGGCACATGTTTGAAGGTAGGAGCCCATTCCAATTCTTCTTTAAGAATATGTGAATATAGAGTGTTAGTGGGACATTTGAGAGAGGATGTTTGACAAGAACGAATCACATGGGTCTGGACTTGACAAAAACATGCTATCATTTAGGACTCACTTCCTTAAAAAGTGATAGTTGCTATGGCAGTAAATGAGATTCCTCAGACTGAGAAGGTGGGCTGAGAAGAAGAAAGCAGAGCACATAGACTCACACGTTGTACACCTTCCATTTTTGTATGTTGTCCTCATTAGTCTTCCCCAGCACTTGTCAAACCACTGCCTGGTGTCACAGGCTCAGAGAATTGGCCATCTCCAGGTCAATTCTGCTTGGGGCCAGCCTGGTACACTCATTTAGAATTCAGTGTTTCTCAAACATTCACATTTATGGGCTAAAGAGCTGAAGAGCTTATGAAGACACAGATTTCCCAGCCTCACCTGGAGACTGTTCAGTAAGTATGGGATAGGGCCTGATAGTTCACATTTCAGGCTCCCAAGTGATCCTGATGTTGCCAATCCGTGGATCACATTTTCACGAGCACTGATTTAGATCATTTTACCCCTCACCAAATACCATATAGAGGAATTAAGTAAGTACCCAGGAGCATCACAAAGGGACTTCTATTATTCTTTCCCTAATTACCAAAGAGAGTAATTGCCAAATCCTTTTAACCAAAAGATCTTCTAAACAGAAGGGAAACTATCACTTGGCTTTTCCTCACCATGACTTTTTCCTCTATTTGCAGACTATCCAGATCCTGTTTGGAATTATGACCTTTTCTTTTGGAATTATCTTCCTTTTCACCTTGTTAAAACCATATCCAAGGTTTCCCTTTATATTTCTTTCAGGATATCCATTCTGGGGCTCTGTTTTGGTGAGTAGAGTCAATCAAGTTCAATTTGAAGCCATGCCAACCAGGATGTTAGGGAATTCTTTGTAATGAAATAAGCTAGATCCAGTTGTATGATATGCTTTCAAAAGTGCAAAAAACTAACCTTGTTGAAATGATTTCCCCATTTGTTCATCACAGTCACTGATATTCCATCATTAGGTCTTGAAGTTCCTTTGGGAATATTTCTTTCGAGGCTTGAAGTTGTTTATTTGGCTATTCATTCATTCGAAATTAGTTACTATCTATTATAAGCCAGATACCCAGAGAAAGGCAGTGAGCCTCTCCCCCAAAGACCTCTCAGTCTAGCAAGAAAGCACGTAAACAGATCACTTCAAGGCAGTGTGATAAATATTATCACAGAGGTGCAGGAAGCGCTTATGCAGGCAGAGATGAAGGAGCAATTTATTCTTTACAGAAGTGCAGTGGGAAGGGTTTCTCAGATACACCTTTAAACTGCAGAGAGGTATTTATCAAACCCAATTTAGTCACAATCAATAAACATTAACTTCGGACCTAATTTAGTGCCACAGCATGGGCAGGGCAATGGATTCAGGAAAAAGACAGCAGTCCCTGAGCTCCAGGCCTCAGTTGAGTGAGGAGTCAGACAATTAACATAGGGTGTGATGAGGGAGAATAGACACAGGGGCTCCCTCCACAGAGGGGACAACGCCCAGAGACATTTCCAGCTTGAACGAGTTTTAAAGGGTGAATGGTTAATCAGGTGAGGACACACACAGAAGATG